TTTCAGCTGAAAATGCAGTGAATTGTACATAATAGGTATGCAATAAAGTAGGTAGAGGCACATTTTTCCAATGTGTGTATGTTGAATATATTGGCAGCAAAACAGCTTTCTCAATAACTTCGAGAAGGTTTGAAAAATCAAACGTGATAAACTAGAAAAAGAAAGATAAACCTTACTAGGAACTTATGGGGATTTCCACACTCAACTTGTGGAGAGTAAACCTTTAGTTCCCCAGTGTGCTTTTACCATTATGCTTTGACAAAGAAACGAGAGAAGCATGTTCCAGAAGTTCCTAAAAACAACCTAATCAATTCTGGGCCACTAATAATGAGATACTGATATGATTCAGTGTCCAGCAACCAATCAGAACTGGAGTCTGGTTTGAGGGAGGAGCTACAGAACTCCACTTGATACAGTGGGGAAAATATTTATTTGATCCCCTGCTGATTTTGTAAGTTTGCCCATTTACAAAGAAATGAAGGCTCTGTCATTTTTATGGTAGGTTTATTTTAACGTGTAGAGAGAATATTAACCAAAAATCCAGAAAAAACACATTATATAAAGGTTAGAAATTGATTTGCATTTCAGTGAGTGAAATAAGTATTTGATCCCCAAGCAAAACATGACTTGGTACTTGGTGCAGAAACCCTTGTTGGCAAGTACAGAGGTAAGACGTTTTTTGTAGCTGGTCACCAGGTTTGCACACATCTCAGGAGGGATACTTCTTAGGCCCCGTCCACACGGAGACACGTATAGCTGTATATGCATACATTTTGTATCATATAGGCGTTTCGTCCACACGGATCCGGCGTTTTGGGAGAGTGAAACCGATATTTTTCAGATTTACACATTACAGATTAATAAATGTATTGTTCCATGTTCGTATGTATACCACGCGCAAGGTTTATGTGCATAGTCCAAGTCTTCTCCATTTTTAGTGTATTTCTGTGGCAGATTTACAGCGCCACATACTGGTCTGGCATGTATACTACATAGTTTTGTGTCGGTTTTGTGGTTTCATGTGGACGCAGATCGGATAGGGAAAGCTCTGGCTTCATGTGGACGTAGCCTTAAAGTGGCAGGACTAATCTGTGTTCCACATGGGCACATTACCAATCTGTGGGAGCCAGAATTCTTGCTGGTTGGTAGGGGATCAAATACTTATTTCACTCACTGAAATGCAAATCAATTTCTAGCCTTTATGTAAAATGTTTTTTTTCTGGATTTTTTGGTTGATATTCTGTCTCTATACATTAAAATAAACCTACCATAAAAATTACAGACCCTTCATTTCTTTGCAAGTGGGCAAACTTACAAAATCAGCAGGTGATCAAATAAATATATTCCCCACTGTACTTGGTAGCAATACACCTCATCATGGTCAAGACAGATCTGTGCCTAGAAAATCTGAAGGTAAAAGGAAACTATCAATCAGGTTAATTTGGAAATGTAGAGTCTACAGTACACTCTGCTCAGTAAAGTGTTGAGTAATCAATAAACAAATTGGCTGAAAAATTACAACTTTCAAGACAAACCAAGAAAGGATCCACATCAGCTGCGGGTGCATTCTGAAAAGTGGGTGGAACTCATAAGCCTGACTCATGAATATTAATTAGCTGATTTAACATTCACCAGTAGTACTTAAAGACAGGTAAGTCTGCACTAGCCATAGTAGGCAACTTTAAAATGGCATTGTTGCATGTGGCCAGCTACAATTTTCATCAAATGATGGTCAAAACTTTTCAAAAGCAATTATATAAAAAAAATACAAGTGTTCTCTCCAGTTTTAATGGATGTTATGCCCTGACACATCAGTAAAAATCCACACCCAGAGGGAAATCCCTCTGCAAAGAGGAAATGTTGTATCATCTATTGCATACAAAAGTGCAGTAATAAACAGCAATCATTAAGCTAATTATGGTCAAAATGTAGGTCCAAATCAATTACATTTATGGTCTCAGGAAGATGGATAATTAAACTATAATTGCCTTCTGTTTGAATATATCACGCTAAGAAAAACTATGTTTATAGCAAACAAAGTCATTCAGTCAATTCCAGTGCAAATGGAATTAGGAGGACAGCAGAGGGAAGACAGTCGGCCTGCCGGGATTGCTCGTGCCTGCTGGTGCCTGGCGGCTTTCTTTTCTCGGAGCTGAACAGACTGCTGGGATCTGCAGGGGTGGTTAGCTTTGCTATTCTGAGGAGCGTGGAGAGAAGCACCACTTTCTCCCACGGGATTCATCGGAGGGAGTCTGAACATGTCACTCCATAGAAAAGTCAACTGATATTTCGACAAGAGAGGCAAGCGGGAGGTAAAACGCGGTGTGCAGCATCGTACAAATAGGCGAATACTCGTATGCAAATATACGTAAGTGCGTGCGCACATCCTAGGAGAGATGAACGCGATACTCATTGGAGCTGGAAAAAATGCCTCTTAAAACATAAAAGAGATTGGCGTTCAAAAGATGTGCAAATGTGCAAACAGAGAGACTCATATGCACATGAATGGGTCACGTACATGCAGATGATACATGAGAGCTCTACAGTAGTGCACTAAACACAGTACCTGAGTCTATCTGAAGATGATGGGATTAATTTAAAATCCACAGAGCTGTTTAAGGACGTATATTTAGAGAGCCACACAAAACAACAACTGGCCTGAGCTGACAGCTACAAAACAGAGCAGCAGACTGGATTAATCTACAAGTGTATGGCTTCAAAGATATCTATAATCAAGGCCACAATTTAATGAGAACTGCTGCTGTAATGTTGCTATAAGGAACCAAGGCTCAACATTAAGGACTTTTTCTTGCCAACGCAAACAAATGTGCATTTCACACAATTATATACAATTTCTAAACAAAAATATGAAAATAATTAAATAAAAAATATACAATATATAGAATAAAATATTTACTAAAACATAATAAAATAGTTATAATAATACATATATAATGAATAAAATTAAAAAACAACAATACAAAGAAATAATTAAGAAAATAGTTTCTTTTATCTAAATATATATTTTTTCCATATTTTATGTAGTTTATTTAAAAATATATTTTTGTATTAAACTGTAAATTATAAAAAGTATTTAAAAATAAAATAAAACTAAATAAAATTTTGTAATCCACTTGGGAACATGTGAGAAACTCCAACTGAACGTTTATGGATGTTACATTGCATCTCAGAGTTTTGTGACAAGAAAGTATTTTTTAAACATTTTTTGGTTGAAACTTGCTAAAACTAATCTCTTATAATTTCTAAAACATTTCTCAATATCCTGCATTTTGATTTTCTCTAACTGCTTTTTAAAAGTGAAGTGAGTAATTTCTGAAACAATAGCTTCTCTGGAAAAGAAAAAAAAATGCTGCCACTTCCGAGTACTTCACTAATGATCTCATGTATCTATGACCGGAATGCTTTAATTTACTCTATTAAAAGGGTTGTAGTGAACTGAGAACTCCATGAAGACTCTATTAAACCAGCCCTCAACATGGAAATTCTTCAACCCCTTCCTTATCACATTTTAAATTTCCCACAATCTATTACTTTAATGAGGCTGAGTATACATGGCTCTACAAGTCTCTACCATGACCTGTAACCCCATAAACTCAGGAGGCCCAAAGCCTGACCTCTGACTTAGCTCTGGTCTCCTCCCCATGTGTAAAGCCACCCTAAACCGCCATAAATGCTAAGAAACCAGTCTATATCCACTGTGATTAAGGGGTCCTTGGAATCCTATAAACTGGGATTTTTTGTGCCAGGTTCTATCAAAAGTGTTTCCCATGTCCCTGAAGAAAAGCAACAAAATGAAACGCATCAGGCGATCATACGGCCCGTGTTATTTTTTTCTCTGCAGTGGGTTCCTTTGAGCAAAATCTCTTCACTACGGTGCCATAAATAAAACAAACTCTTGAAGCTTTCGCAGGTTTTCCAGTAGGAGTAACTTCTCTCAGTAAGTGGTAACACACAAACAATGCGTATTTTGATGTCTATTTAAACTTTTACGCTAACTCGCAGCCTTTCTAGAAAAGTGTGCCACAGAAAGCAATGATTTTTGTACTTCTATGATGTTTAGGACAAATCTAAGCACAAATCCTTAAAGACTGTGGTGAAAAAATACATATTTACTACTAATGATTAATCAGCCAATATTTTGTAACCAACACTGTGATGCTATTTTTCAACATTTTTTATTTATTTAATTTTTTTGTGAATTTTAAGTAAAACACTGAGTGACATAAGAGTTGTATTTCAATTTCACTTGTATTATGTATATATCTGCATTATATCTGTCACTTTTAATATCGTATTGGCATCGGTTATTAGAAAGACATATGTCGACCTGGTGTAGAATACTTATAAAATAGGTATACACAATATATATCAGTATCATATTGTTTACAGGATGATATTCAAGATTGTTTTTTTATCAGTCGATATTGGATATACATTTCCCATATTTTTCCATTACACTACCTTTGTTGTCATCTAACACACAGTTAGAGTTAATCATTAAAAACAATAATCATTGAATAATACTGGTAAAATTCCTTTTTCACAGTGTACCTTATAATATTGTGATGCCTAAAATCACCTGTAGCATTGATTTTAGTTTGTATTTACATTTTTTTACATAAATATATATATATATATATATATATAGACTGATAGCAGTAAACTGATATCCAATATTTTGAACCGATATATATGTCTGGTGTAAAAATGAAAATTAATGTCAACATTAAGACTGACATGGGCTCGGACTAAAAACTTTCTTTAAATGCTTTTATGTGATCATGAAGATGTGATCTTTATGAAAGTGACAGCAACAGGAAGTCTTGTGCCCATTTAACAGCCTATGCCAAGTTTATAAAAGATAAATGAATTTTTAATAGCATTTAGAATCAGTCAGTAAAAATGGCCACAAGTATATCCGCCATGAAGTAAAACATCCCCATACAAAATTGAACCCCAGTAGAGTTGTGGCAGATAAGACTACAGGTGAGAGATACGCCAGACTTGGCTAAACTCAGAGCCAAAGGTGCTGTTGCAGTCAGGATGGAGCCAATAACCAGCCAGCAAAGTTATTAGCACCTCAGCTAGCAGCCGGCTACGGATGTGCTATCACGTGCTATCAGCTCCGGTGAATTTAGCATAGCAAACTCATGGCCTGCAGTAAATCTGTGTCAAAGAAACACAGTCTAGTGGTAATGACTATATAAACTGGTCTCTTGCCTGTAATTAACACAAACCACAGCAGGGCTGAAAACAAACACCATATTTGTTGTGTTTTTTTTACACGGCTCTTTTTCTAACTCAAATCTGGATGAAACCATGTAATCATCTCTAGGAACAAGCACAAGGCCATTACATCAGAGACAGTCTGAAATAAAAGGTATAATGACATAGCAGTCTGGCTCACTGTTTGCCATTAATTGTTTTCAACCGGTTCAAAAGAAATCTAATTGTGTCAAATGATCTATCAGAACTTAGACTTACTAACAAACAAAAGGCTTATTATGAGCAATGTTTATGAATGAGACAATCAAGAACATTTAAAGGTTTAAAATGCTAGTATGCTAAACCTTTTGATCTGAGCTACAGCAGCATTAAAAAACAACTTGAAAAGATTCAGAGGCCCACGTAACGGATAGAAAAGGCTTTTGTTTTGGTAAATGATGCAGTTTTAACTGGCCCTGTCAAAATTCTGTGTTGAAGCCCAACATGTTATTTGCAAGTCAATCAACTCACCTAGGTTACAGGTTGTCAAGGAGAATGAGTGAAAACAAACATGGAGTAGCAATCACAGTTTCACTATCAGACATTTCCTTCTGATGCAACGAATCGGTGGGGGCTCTGCTGAGAAAGCATCTAAAATGATTTATCAAAGTGAACATTTGCTCTTTTTCTCACATCCTCTCAACCAGCGTGGTCTCAATTTCTGTTCGCAGAAACAGAAAATCTAAATTCTGTCACCATTTACTCACCCTCATGTCATTCCAAAACCGATTTTCGCTGACCAAAAAAAGGAATGTTAGGCAGGATGTTCATGTTGCTCTTTTCCATACGATAACTGTGAATGGTGACCAAGCTTCAAAAATGACAAAAAAAAGCACCATGAAAGAATCAAAACAATAGTTCATACACTTAAAAATAAAGGATCTAAAAGGGGGTTTATGCAGCGATGCCATAGAAGAACCATTTTTGGTTCCCCAAAGAACCTTTAAGTAAACAGTTCCACTCTAAAAAAATCCATTTGTGGGTTCAAAATGTTCTATGGATGGTTAAAGGTTCTTCATGGTACCATAGATACCAATAAAAAATCTTTTTGACCTTTATGATCCACACACTAGTGGTCTTTATAGCTCTCAAATCTAATTTATGCAATTTGAACAAACACATATTGAATATTTATTCAACATTCAGCCAGGTGTGATGTTACTTTTCTCTCATTTTTGGAGTTTGATCAATTTTTGGTCGCCATTCACTTTCACTGTATGCAAAAGTACAGCATGAACATTCTGCAAAGCATCTCCTTTTGTGTTTCACGGACGAAAGTCATACAGGTTTGTGTGACTAACTGCAAACCATTCCTTTAAAATGTAACTGGCATTTACACTGAGGTACAATTTTAGCCACACTTCTGATCTAGTTACACTAAACTACAAGGCAACTGATGCCCACAACAATTACAAACACTGGCTCAAAGGGCAGGGGTGTCAAACATCCCCTGTCAAAACAACATCACTAAGACTAAGGCAATAGCACAATTTTGATTGCTAGAACCAGTAAGCTGCTTAGAGACTGGAAAACAACAAGTCGGGAGGCAGATTATGGAAGGAAAAGGAGCAACGGGAGACGAGATCAATGAGAACTCAGTCCAACCTCTAGTGTCAAATGTCAACACATGGCAGGGCATCTAATGTCTGACTACAGCATATAGACCCCAGGGATGCGTTTACACACACAGGCTAATTCTCTGCAGACAAATGAGCAATGCCGCTTCATGAACTTGTTGCTCAAACCATTTCATTGTGCATTTCTAAATCCGATCTCAGCCTAATAGAAGGTGTCATCATAAAGGCTGGGTAGTAGATCTAATATTTATGTGCATAATAAACTAACATTGTGAACATATGGATGATTTCACTATGCTTTTTCCAATTTATATGTATTTTTAGGCTATTTCTGGCCTTGCGTCAATCCTGAAATAAAGCACTTAGACAGAAGACATTTTGATAATCAGTTCAGTGAGTTTTTTTTCTCAAAATGTAATGCTCAAAAACACTCCTTTAAAGCAGATTTTTATTTTATTTTATTTTGGCAGTTTGGCCAAAACAATCGTGCCATGAAACGTACAGAGACTTAAGCCATTTCAGAGACAATATGTAGGCCTACATAAAACCATGTTTAATATGGCTGAAAAATATCTAGATTTTCTTTTTTTAATCAATATTATAAATTTCATCCAGCCCTTAAAAAGCCTTTAAATATAACACTCTCCTGTTCAAAAGTTTGGGATCAGTAATATGTTTTTAATGTTTTTATTAGAAGTCTCTTACACTGCTGCATTTATTTAACATTAATATTGTGAGATTACAATTTAAAATACATCTTTACTATTTTAACATTTTAAAATGTAATTTCCTGTGATTCAGAAGCCATTACTCAAGTCTTCTGTGCCACATTATTGTGCTGCTTAATATTTTTGTGGAAATCATGATACATTTTTTTGTCAGGATTCTTTGATAAAGAACAGTATTTATTTGAAATAGAAATCTTGTATAACATTATTAATGTCTTCACTGTCTTCAGAGACAAATTGATACTTTATCAATGCAGTGCATCCTTGTTGAATAAAAGCAGCATTTTCTTTCAAGAAAAAAACAACAACATATTACTGACAACATTTTTCAACATCAGCGTACATATATAAAGCAACAACAAATATCTGAATTTCAATGTGCTCATAAGTGTCATTCGAATGTCTATTTCTGGATCATAGACTCAGAAAAGGCCCCAATCTTGCAAGTCACAAATAGCTTCCACAGTCATGGCTTACATGCTTAAATGAGGACAATGATGTGTGGGAATAGATGGAGGAATTGCTTTGGGATTAGCGTTAGAAAACGTGAGCGTCAAAGCTGAGCTACACCACATTAGCTCAGTAACCCTTGGAAACAACTTGAGAGCCAATTCTGAATTCTTACACTGAGATCCACTTGATATCTGCTAAAAACAAAGTATATTTACAATATCAAACCCACCGCTATCTTTACACTCACTTGGTCTCGCACAATCACATGACTTAAAAGGAGGAAGGAAGGCGTGACAGGGCCACCAGGTTTCATGAGGCCCTTTGGCCTAAAGAGGAAGTGGTCCAATTTGCTGAGGGATGCCAACAGCCTTCTTTTCCCCAGACTGTCATGCTCTTCCTCTCCATAGCATCTCCTTTCCTTTCTGCTCAGTTGGTTCCTCTAAAAGTCTCAAAAAGTTACCGACAGCTGGCAGTTAATGTTTTGTCATCTCATTACCCACTGGCTTCAAAACGCTATTCCGTTTCCTAGTCAAATGTCAAAGCCTTGGTGGGAAACCACAGCGCTTACTAACGCCATAGCTGTTCTCAATACTCAATATTCAATATCAGGGGCTCAAGAGGTAAAGTTTAAGGATCTGAAACTGAAAAACCCACAATCAACCATATATATACCAGTTACAGACCCATAATATAGTGACACTAGAAGAATACCGAGCGTAATTCAGACTAGCAGGCTGGTTATTCAGACACGGCCCTCCAGAGGAATCAGTCCAGACAGCTGTATTAGAACTGCCATTTACAAAGTCAAAGAGATATTTGCTTCCCTGACAGACCCCGTGTTTGTTTGCATATGGTTTGACTCCCACAAGAACGCTGCTGGGAAGTTCTGATACAGCTCAAAGCAAGAACCACACTGTAACCGCAACAATCGCGACTATAATTATACAAAACAACTAGGAACTACACGAAAGCGATACCTGAAATCGACACATCATAGCAGACGTGGCTCTAAACGTTTTTTCCAGGACCCAACCCAGATTTTTAAAGGGTGTTCAAACGGTGGGCAGCCTTCTTTGAAAGGAAGTCCACATCTCTTCATTTTGTTATTTTCAACAGAGCCTACAGACCGGCATTCCTCTGTGCCCAAGAGGACACACTATCACGGGGATTTCCTTCCTCTTGCTCTAGGAGGGACAGGACCGGGGTCAGACCCCACTAGGGTGAGGTCGTCCCGACCCAACACTCCAAAAAAGATCTGTGCCAAGTACTGGTATGGTAACAAGCTTGGCTTCTCAATTTGAGAATTTGGACATGTATGTACACATGTATAAATTACACATTTTTTAACTCAAACTTGATGACATAGGTAAACAGGACACAAGAAAAAAAGATGCAAAAACAAAGCTATGACTGTGTTAACTCATATTTCACACGAAGTTAGTGAACTGACAAAAGAGTTTTGACACAGGAAATGTAAGGGTGTACATACACTTATCTGCCTTTGACAGTGACAGATATATTGCTGCCTACTTTTCCGTGATTGGGAATGACAAGTGTTTGCTCAATACCCCCTCAAAAACAGGAAACGGTGTTCACTCGATTGGTGGTTGCACAAGTTGTCATAAATATTGCAGCAAACATAAACCTATACAAATTCCACAAAGCCTAAATGGAGTTTTGAACCATTTTACAGTGGAAAGGTGGCACAGAAGCTCTATGTATTCCACAAATAAAGGTGTATTTACGCAATGGAGTAAATTAAAATAATACAAAGATTAAAATAATGCTAGGAAATTCAGAATATAGAAATATAATGTGAAATTACAAATATAACAAACTATGAAAATGTTAATTCATAATACTGTATATGCTTAAATGTGCAGTCACATTGGCTAGTTTTTCAGCAAAATTTCACAGGCAAAAAAAAAAAAGGTTCATCATTAATAGCATAGCCATTTATGAAGCAGAGCTCACATTGAAGTCACCGTCAAATCAAGCAGTTTTCTGTTGGTGAGTGCGGCCAATTTGTGTGACCAACTTGAACATGAGTGAAATCTGCATCGGAAACATTTCGCCATCACACAAGACTCCCAATCGTGCGAATTCCCATTGGAATGACTAGATTTCGTCCATAAAAATTGCAGACAAATGGTAAATGTGACCGCACCTTAAGGCTGCACTGATGCTGCATTTCATTCCCACAGAAGCAAAGCAGCATCAGATGCAGATACTATGTGCTTAAGGGGAATCTGGCATATTTTAGTAGTTATTTATGTGACATGGCATTTCTACACAGACTTTATAGCAGACACAAAGCCACCTCAGAGCAGGCTGTGTAGAGACACCTTTGGAGAAAGGCTGCTATAATTTGACAAGAGCCCCGTCATTAAAGATCAAGCCATTAAAAATGCATGGAGAAGCAACAGGATCTTCTTTAACAACCTCTTTGAGAGACTTCAGCCTCATATCCCTTCTCAGAGGACAATATTCAAAATGTCACATCCAACTAGGAGTCTATAAGGGCCCTGTGATGTTTCCTGGTCTATGAAGTGGATTTAAAAAAAAATATATAATTCTTTCCGTAACTCTGAAAAGCAGGAGTGCAAAGTATTCCTACGTGAGCTGACGGTCACTCCACCGTGAAAGAAAACCGAGTCATTTTCTCCAATTCTTCTTGAATGAACTAGTCATCTCCCTCGACTGAGGAACAGAACAGAACAGAACTAGGCGGGGCCGGTAATCAGTCAAATCTAGAAGGAAAGACTGCGTTGGAAGCGCTAAATGTGCCTTTTATCACAATGCCTGACACTCCTTATCCATCTCTTTACGTAAACCGTGTCGAAAAATGCAGCTTTGACGGTTAGAAGCCGATAATCTGTGCTTCGTTAAACTACTCATTCGTACAACTTTTCCATTTCCGCTATAACTTCCACAGTGCCGTGGGCATAAGACAACAAAAAACGCCATTCTTCACACAACAAAACACCGCAAACCTCGCGCTTTTCCCAGCGATCATTTTCGCCATTAAGCCGAGTCTGGCAACTCTAAGGAGTTGAATTGTTTCACTCCAGCTCCGCCATATTCTAGACAACTGAACTGCTCTTCCGCAAACCCTTTGCCGGTCTGCTTTGCAACATTGTAACATTCCGCCATTCAGCCGCTACAATGTATCAATCAAGCTGTGACATCATAATCCCCTCATAGTTCCCGAGCAATACACGCGCCGTTACGACTGTAATGCCACAGAATCTCGCGCAAATGCGATACTTACAGCAATCCGCTCCAGCCAGTCAGTCCGTCTGCGCCTGTGCCTGTGAAAGAGCTGCTTGCCTCTGGGAGGGTGGGTGAGGTTTAGAGTCGAGCATGACGTTACAGCCTCGGTTTCAGCACCGTACACTCCTGAGCTCTGCCTACAATTGAGCTGAACGGGAAACGGAGAACGAGCGCTGCTAAATGTGGCACATGGAAGTGACAGTGTCGATGGATATGTACAGTACCTACAGTACAAGATAGGG